TGGGCTAGGGCCGCCTTCATGCGGGCGTCGCCCACGGCCACGGAGTCGGCATTCCCACGCGCGGGAAGGCCGACCGCCATCATGCCAGGCTTGTCGCTGGCTGAGCCGGCGTCGACCAAAGCGCCGAAGATCCGGCACAGGTCGTCTAGGGAGGCTGTTTCCAGCTGCCGTCCGTGCGGTAGCACGCCCAGGCGGGTCAGGTCCATGACCCGCTCACCGCCGTTGCCACTCTTCGGCGCGCAGAGGTCGTATAACTGCTCGATGACTGCCTCGGGTCCTGGCGCGTGGAGGGCATCTAGCTGGAAACTCGGCACCGTTGCCATGATGAACCGGGAAGAAGAGAAACACAAACAGGGGAAAGGAACTAATCCCAGAGGGACGGACGGTCGCGGTCGCCGCTCGAGGAGAGCGGAGGGCGCGGACGGATGATGAGCGTCTCAAAAAGGAGACTCTCCTTTCCTCTGTTTTCCTGTCTTGCACAGGTTTGACAAAAGGAAGTGAGAGTGTGTTCTTCCTCCTCCTTTGTTCTGGATCTTTACGTCTGGAGAATTCTTAAATCGTGCCTCTTTCTTCATTTCCTGTTTTGAGAATCCTCGAAACCTTCTAGAGGTCAGGTAAGGGGTTCGAATCCCAGCACAAGCGAGCTTTTCTTGGAACGTGAGTTTTTCTCTCGCTTTTCCGCTTCTGACCTAGTGGATAGCGCTAGTTCGTGTGTACACAGAGGGAAGAGAGTGCTGAACTCTTCTCGCATTAAAAATCGAAGGCAAAGTACCGCAGGAAGGGAGGGTAGAGAGGGGCTCTTCTGTGTGACCACGGATTGGAGCAAACGGCACTAGTGCTGTGAGCGCTGATTTGAAGAAATGAAGCAAAAATATTACATAAATAAATAAATTTAAAAAATGCTTACGGTACTCTGGGCAGCTGGCTCTTCCTGGTCACAAGGAACGGGGAACCTTTTTTTCTCGTGGTCTACATCCCCCCGATTCAGTTGTGCTGAACCTTTCTCTCTCGCTCTTCTTGTACAGAGATATCGCGTGCAAATCTAATTCTGCACACCCCCCCAGCGTCCCACACACTCCCTCGCGCACGGTCAGACAAAAAACGCTTCCTTCAAGGAGCCTTTTTTGATATCCCACATCATAGCAACTGACAACCGACTCAACGATGTTCACGACCCGCGCCGCCCGAGAGGAATCGTACAAGGCAGAGGTGCGAAGGACCCATGCTCTTCTCAAGCCTATCCAAATCGAGGCGGCTGCAATTTTCTACCCCACCCTGTTCGAGGTGGACCCGTCGACAAAGGTGGGTGCGTGAGTGAGGTGTGTGTTCATGTATGCGAGTGAGTGAGTCTCCGTGTCGCATGTATAATAAGCGCCGCTGATGTTTGGACTGGGGACCTGCTCGGTGTGCCGCTGTTGGAACACGGACCAAATCATCGGTTCGTCCCGTCACGTAGACTATTGTGTCACAAAACGCGCGTGTCACAGAACGCACAGCGTGCTTGTCATAGCCCACGCTCGTATTCTTGGACACCTACCTGTCGTCGGTTGGTGGCTGCAAGCGCCGGTCTCGCGAAGAAACCAAAAAGTCAGGGTAAATGCTGTAGAGAATTTACACACACATCAGGTTGCAGACAATCTATACGGATGACGCGTGTCAGAGTTTCAGCGGTTTTCGGCTTTCCTCTTCGTGAGGAAGGCTCGGTGGGTTCTCTCCCCCGAGATAATCATGCCGTGCGTTCGAAGTGAGAGTGCATGAAACCCACCCCTGAGTATCCACCGCCCTGTCTGTATAGGCATTCGATGTATTGCATACATCAAGGCCGCAACGAGGATGCTACAGTGTACAGTCCGAACGTTCACGTACTCGTCGGGTTGTTGCTTAGGATGCACCGGCTCGTCGGCTCGTTGCGTCGAAGTCGTTTCGGAGCCGTCATAATTCCGATTTTCGGCAGACTCTCAGGGTAAGCTAGCGTGTTCGTGTCTACAGGTCTGCAGCACAGCTACAGCAATACGTTTGGGTCGAAGTGTCTTTTTGGTTTTCTTTCTTGGCAAAATGGACTATTTCCAAACTAAAAGGCGCACGTACTAGTCTAGAGTAGTTAACTCGAAAAAATGCATGAAACCAGTGGAAGAGCCCGAAAAAAAGTGGATGAATCGAGTTTTATACTTGTATCGGAGGGGACTTTTGGGCAAAAATGCATGAATCGTGGGCAAAAATATGTTTGGGGCTCCAGAGCTCCAAGTATATAATATTTTATTTTTCTTAATATGACACAACGAATCCATCTCTATCATAGAAAAGAGTCTGAGACAGATTAATTAGCAATGAATTCATAGCGTCAGAAAGTACCTGTATGTCTACGGTTTCCAAGTATTTTATATATATATATTGTATTATATATATATTTTTTCGAGCAGTGGCCAAAATCGGGTACACCCGGTCAGAACACGGCCGTAATCGGGTACCCCTACAAGGTGCTGCTGGGAGCGACCGCATGCCACCATCTGATTGGCCGGCGCCCGCCCCTACCCGGCCTTGGCCGTCTTTCCACCGGGTGCACCCGATCTTGGCTACTCACCCCCCGGAGGGGTACCCGGTTTTTCTTTCCCCTACCCGAAAATGGCTGGGCTGTTCAACCAAAACCCATGCACACAATCACTGGTCGGACGCACACCACCGGCCCTCGTTTGTCACCAATGAGCAAGTAGCGGGAGGGAGAGAATATATAATATCTAATTTTTAAATGAGTCCCGTGTGTGTCGCATCTCGTGAGGGAGGGATTCATCCAGCTCTTCTTCTCGATCATTTGCACAGACAGACCGCCAGCCGTTTCCCCCAAGAGAGACTTCCACCGCCGGCGGAGGGTATGCCTCCGCCCGGCGGGCGGTCAGAACGTCAGAATTTTCGAGGGCAGGGCGTTGCTGACGTGTACTTGTTGTGTTCATGGGTTTTGGTCGAATAGCCCAGCCATTTTCGGGTAGGGGAAAGAAAAACCGGGTACCCCTCCAGGGGGTGAGTAGCCAAGATCGGGTGCACCCGGTGGAAAGACGGCCAAGGCCGGGTAGGGGCGGGCGCCGGCCAATCAGATGGTGGCATGCGGTCGCTCCCAGCAGCGTCTTGTAGGGGTACCCGATTATGGCCGTGTTCTGACCGGGTGTACCCGATTTTGGCCACTGCTCTTTTTTTTCTTAGTATAACAGAACGAATCCATCTCTATCATAGACAGCATATAGGGACATCTCCCCTCCCTGCGGGTAACAGGCTCAACAAGACAGTTTGGTAGCTGTCTTGTGTGTCTCATATATGTTATGTTGGGAATATATTTTTGTTCCGAGACGAACAGACTGACTGCTCTCTCTATCTCCCTCTCTCGCTCTCCTCTCTCCTCGCTTTTGCAGCAAACATCACCGCCGTCACAACAACCAAGACACAGCACACAGTCATAACAACGCCGCCACCACCGCCAGCCCCCAACCAAGCTTTCGGGCACTGCCCGGACGATTTGTTGTTGTGCTGCATGCGTATCAACGCGTACGTGAGGTTGCTGCATGCTGCTACACCCTCTCTTTTCCCCTCTGCCCTCCTCTCTCGTCGTGCTCCTTTTTCTTTCTCGCTTTCTCTGGTGCCTCCATCGCACGCAAGCACAGACGAACTAACGAACAGACACAGTTCCACAAGGCTCGCCGCGTAGCTTATGGGCTGCCCCGTTATTTTTTTTTGGGGGGGGGCGGCCCTTCCTAGTCGGCATGGCGGGGATGCTGGAGGTTGTTGTTGCAGTTGATGCACAGACAGGGTGTGCGTATATGCCTGTCTGCCTGTCTTTTCTAACCTCTCTCTCGTTTTCTCTTTGTTTGTCTAATTATAAATATGGGGGTGTTTGATGTAATTAATTGTTTTTGGGTTTGGGGAGTACATGTATGGAGGCAGGATCAATTATTTCGGACGCAAGCGCCTCGCGGTCGACGCTCTTCGGCCATGTGCAAAAATCGCCAAAGTTGAGGGTTCGAACTCAAGGCGGGTAAGCTCACGAGCAGAAGTCTATCAACTTATGGTGAAAAACTCCTATCTCAACAGCAAAAAAACAACGAATAGCCTTGGTGCCAGGTGTCAGTCAGTGCAGCTCGGCTTCTGTATGAGCGAAATCGTGTACGGAGGAACAGTTCTTCTACGAATCCTCTCACACTTGCCACTGCTCTGGTAAATTTAATTAATCCATACAATCTCAAGTAATTAAGCAGTTTTCGGTTTTTAGGAGACGATATATCGCTTGCTGCTTGTTTCCGGTTGATCAAATTTGGCTGCACCACAACGGCAGCCCACCTGCCCAGGATGTATTGGCGCAGGCTAACAGTCCTGTGTTTGTATCCTGTGAAGATCTATTCTCGAGTTTTATATTTATATCACGAGAGTTTTTCACCAAAAATGTACAAAGCAGCGAAAGGCCCAACAAAGTCCCGCCGGTCCATGAATCGAGTTTTAATTAACTCTACTCCTGCTGTACTTGTACATGGTATGCAGCTGAACGTATACTCCTGTACAGCAGTAGTCGTGGGCCCGGTTTAGCGGTTCCCTGTTTAGGATGCCCTGAGTAGCGGTTATTGAATCTCGTGACACGACTGCACCCCGGTTTAGCGGTTGCAACCGCTAAACCGGTCGTGCCCTCAATAGTGGTTACTGGACATATTTTCAGCGACCAATAGGGTTATCGGTTCAAATTTGCAGAGACACAGCGACATTGGTCAGCCGCTTAGCGTGGTCGATGCCCGTAATAAAAGCGCACAGCAACACACACACACACCATGCGGTGAGCGGATGGAGAACTGTAGCTTTCAGATGCGGCACTGAGTCCAAGCGGCGCGCACGATTGTAAAGGTGGCTGTGGTGGCCGCACGCACGGCATGTGTATGGAGAGGTGGAGGATCCTGATGGCAACGAGATGCACCGCATTTGCCAATAGTGTGCAACCAAGAAGGCCCAGAGTTCCCCTCGCGTCGCAAATCCACCCAACCAAGCGCAAAGAGGCGGAAAATGGCTTTCTAGCACCAGGCGCGGAAGAAAAAACTCGCGCTGCAGCTACACGACAGCCCCGCACGCGGCTCAACTTTGACCAGAAGGTTGAGGTTTTGAAAATTCTGGACCAGAACGTAGCGCACTCAGAAATAGCGCGCATGAAGAGATCGAAGCTTTGCGGGATCGAATAACAAGCTCGTTGAGAAGTTCTGCAGTATGGACATGGAGGGGCCTCACCCCTCCGACGACGAGTTAGAGCTAGAGCGAGATTGCACCGCAGAAGTTGACGGTGCGAAGGGCAAGGGGGTCATGGCGCAGCCGCCATACTCGGAGCTATCGGCGGATTTTGGCCAGCTTGAAGAGTGCGCGGAGTTGTGTGACGTGGGCGAGGCAGCACACCATCTTCGCAAGGCAAAAATGGCGTTCCTCGAAGCGAATATCAGAGAGGGGTTGGGTTAAACATGGTCGATACACGCGACAAATAGTACAAATGAGCTGCTCAAGCACGTGGTTGGTTGCCATTGCGTTGTCACGAACTTACCCCACGTTCGTTAGAGACGCGAAAGATTTTCCAGTCTTAATGAAGGGCATACAGTCCATCAGGGAACAAGCTTGGCGCTTTCGTGAATTGAAATGCACTAATGTGCTTGCTGTGTTGTCACCCTTAGGGTCGATACTTCTTCATCTGCACCTTCGTACGGCTGCTGCAATGAGACACATGCAGGCCCTATCAAAATGAACTTTTGACGCTGCTCTTGTTTGGCGAAAATGGGCTTTTTCCCGGTTTAGCGGTTCATCACCGCCATTGAGCCTCCCGGGTTAGCGGTTCATAACCGCTAAAGAGGTGTAGCGGTGTCATAACCGCTAAAGAGGTTTAGCGGTGATGCCCTGAATAGCGGTTATAGATTTTTGTGGCACAATGGACCGCTAACCCGGGTCCACGACTGTATGTAGCCCCGTGGGAGTACATAAATTCTTCCAACGAAATATGACTGCAGAACATGGCCGGAAGACCAAGATGGTTATTTGGCGGGTGAAGAGAGGTGTTTTCTTCGAGCAAACGCACGCACCCTCTTAGTGGCAACGGAGAACTGCACATTTGTGCGCTTCCAGCGTTCGAACAGTGAGAGGTGGTAATGACCCCAGCATCATGTTGTCTCAAAAACAATCCGGGGGTACTCCCGGAGCTTTCTCAGGCTGTTGGGCGTTCCACCAAACCATGAACTGGAATTCAGGCGAGAGGGGACAGCAGTCCACAAGACAACATCGTTCGTTCATGTCCATGTTACAGTAGTTATATGGACACCGCTCTCTCTTCTATCTCGCCTCCTCCCGATTCAGCGCGTGTTGAACGCTGGATAGCTCGAAAGCGTGCCTCTTTTGACCGGAATTTCAGACACCATGGTGCTACGGTCACACCCTCCTTGTTAGCACGCTGGAAAACACGCGGAGGCAGCTCTTTTCTGTTCGCGGGTGTGTGTGATTGCTGGACGACAACACGGTTCTAATTTCAAGCCTTTTTTCTGGCCGCAATCTGACTGTTTGCCAGTGGAGGTATGTTTCTTTTTCTGTTCGGTTCTGTCATACGGAGACGTTGCGGACTGCTGCTGTCCCCTCTCGGCTGATCCCTAGTTCATGGTTTGGTTCAACGCCCAAAAGCCTGACAAAGGTCCCTATTACCCCCGGATTTGAGACAATATGATGCTACGATTGTATATGATGCTACGATTGTACGATCACTACTTCATACTGTTCGCACGCTGGGAGCGCCCGGATTTACCGAAGTTCTCCGTTGCCATTTGTCTACAGGGTGTGTACATTTGCTTGGAGAAACCACCTCTCTGCACCGCTCTAATTTCAAGGGGGTCTTCTGGCCATGAGTCTGTCTGCTGATGTAAGCACCGTCAAATTTCGATGGAAGGCTCTTTATCGACGAAAAAGATCGCGGCGAGCAGCAAAACAGCGCACAAACCCTCTCATTGAAAGTAGTCTGTTAAAAAAATATCGATCTCTATCCGCATGAAATGAGTACGGGATAAATTTGCAATGGAGTCATGGCAATAGCCGACACACTACAGTACGATTTCCCGTATGCAGCGATATCTCTCGCGTGGGTAACAAGCTCCAACGAAAACTCGCTCTGCAAACCTTCTCTTCATCCCAGTCCAACATGCCGCGTTCCCGCCACAACTGAACCAAGAATCAGGCGCATGTTATTACCAAGACGTGAGGCGAATGACTTCGCTATTGCCATTCGACGGAGCCAATTTCTGGCGTGAAGAGAACACACGTTGACGCGGCCGCCCGACCTTCACTTCCCCCCCTCCTTCATGATTGGTCCGATTTTTTCGCGCCCGGGCGCATTGCTGTGACTGCCTTGGCGATATTGTCTGTTTCTCGGGAAATCTCGTATTTTCGAAAGTATGTTCTCAGCGTCCGTGAGTATGACCATCAATGTATTAGTCGTAAATTGAACCCTGTTGCAGAGCAAGAAGGCGATGCTGGCCCTCAAACGTATGTCGTCCGACAGCAAGTAACATGGACTTTTGTTCCACAGGCAAGATTGTTTCCCCAACCGCTCATGCCTGCCATCGGCGAACATGCTTACGTGACTAACAGCCCCTGTTCAAGGACGTCGACATGGAGAAGCAGGGGGCGAAGCTCATGAAGGTAATCGGTGTGGCCGTGATGATGCTCGACAAGATGGACCAGTTCAAGCCTATGCTGGTCAAGCTCGGAAAAAAGGTGCGATTCAAGCATGGTGGCGAGAGTCCAGCGCAGGATATCGCTTGCACTCCGAGGCAGCAGACAAACAGCTGTTCTACAGACCGTTGACCTGGAACAAGATACAGTCATCCCTCGGTTGAAGACACCATGTTTAAGGACACTCCCCCGATTAAGGACATTTTTTTTTCACAGACATGGTGGCTCGCAGAATGTACAACATTTGGAGGGTTATCAACCTTAAGGACATTCGCCCGGCTTGAAGACAACTGTTTATACGAAAAATCATGTGTGCCCTTAACGGAGGGACGACTTTTGATTAAAGGAAGAAAACACACCGTACTCCATTACAATGATAACAAAAATATGGTGGTCAAATCTGCTTTGAGGTGTCCAACGTTGTTTACCGCACCTCGCAATACTCTTGAGACACATGGCACGAACGACCATGGTGTCGAAGGATTGATGTCTGATACCCTTTTCGTATGGGTGTGATGGGATGAAATCCTTTGGGCGTCCTATTGGTGACCGTTGTCGGCAGTATGGCTTAAGATCTCATCGAAAATAGTCGCCCTTCGTCGGGCGCCATCAGATGGGTTGATCTATTGTGAAGAAAACGTTCCTGTCCATGATATAGGCCAACAGGCAAGTTAAGCATGGGTGCTTTCGTGCGTTAGGGAGTTTGCGATTCAGTCCATTCATCATTTAGGCCGGGGGGTGTTGCAAAGAAAACAGCCAAAGGGTGCTTGGTGGCACAGCCATTGTTTGACGGCACCCCGCGCCTACCCTGGGAAAGATGCGGGGACTCTGTTGAAAATTGTTCTGTATCCACGTAAACCGCTAGTCGCAGAGGTCGAGTTCGAATCCCCATGGGGTGAAAAATATACAAAATTTGAGGGTGGAAACGATTTAAAGCTGATAAAGCTGTCGTGAGTACCAAACTTCGACGTTAGCACCGTTGACGAGGGAAAGGGACGGCTGGACCCTTCTCGCGAAAAAAATAAAACTCAGCACGCACCGCAGGAGGAAGGTGGGGGCACGAAAATAGATAAAAAAGCCCCTCCTGTGTGACCCTGGATGGTTGTAGTTTTACGAAAAATACACTGAAAAGTGTAGTACTCCACATATGTAGTACACGTCTCACCACGAAAAATGGGGGGACTGTCGCCATAATAAATAAGACGAAGACACAACACACACATAACCAGGACTCTATTGTACATAGCTAACCCATCCGCGTTCTTCGTACAGGCTGGTGGATAATTCCTTGGTTTCGCTCAGTCCTCTCGAGAACGCGTGGTCAATGGCCAAACAACTGTAGTGGGGCACGCAAAACATGAGAGTACCCCCCCCCCCCCCACCCACCCCCCGCATATTTGTTGCCACCTCACCTCACCCGCAGCACGTGACCTACGGAGTGACGGACGACATGTACCCCTCAGTGGTGTCGGCCCTCCTCATCACCCTCGAGAAGGGACTGGGCGAGGAGTGCCACCAGTTGACAAAGGACGCCTGGGCATGGGTCATGAACTCCATCGCGGCCGTCTGCATCGCCGCCGCCAGGGAAGACACGGGAGCCCCGGCCGGAGAAAAAAAGCTCCCTATCGAGAAGAACACGGCGGCGGCGGCGGTGGCGGTGGCAGTCGCGGTGGCCGTGGGGGTTCTTGTGCTGTGGAAGTAAGGGAATCCGTGCGGAAGGAGTGTCGCCGCGGGTTCTTTTGGCGGCGGCGGCGGCGGCGGCGACCGCGTCACGGTGTCCAGAACTCCGACGACAAGAGGGCTTGGGGAGATGGTCATCGTTGGAACCTGCCGAGGAAGGGCTAGGTCACTTCTTAGATGACCGAGGCCGATGTCGCCGCTTGCGGAAGCACTTCGCAAATATTCAATGTCGACCATCCGCCCAGGGTTGGTTATCGGGGACGACTATCAGGCTCAGCGTTATCAAGGTCACAGCGAGGTAAAGCCGCGCCGTCCACCCGGCCTGGCCCACCCACCACTGATAGACGTGCCGTCAGGGGTCTTGACGTCTCGAGTTCCTCTGAAAATAGCTCAGAGACGGGAAGGGGGTTCACGGATTGTCTGGTGTCGGGTTTTAGATTACAGGGCCATTGGTTCATGCACCGGCAAGAGGTCAATGACCACAGTAAGGCAGTGTGGTTTGGTAGCAGTAGGGGGTCGCCCAGCCTACAGTAGCTCGACCCCGAGACGATTGTTTGTGTCCCAACGTGTTATTGAACGTTGCTTACTTTATGGTGGTCGTTTTCCCGACTACATAAGGTGCATTTCCCGCATGCGGTGGCTCTGAAAGAGACGCCAGCACCTTGAAAAACCAAACAACGGGGTTCGGCACAGCAACAGTTGAAGCTATGCATCTCGGTGGGACCAATGGTTTCGTTGCGTCGTGGTATTTGAATGCTGTGCGCGAACCGTGGTAGGCTATTACAGTGTTGTAGTTACTTGTTGTTTTGTGTGCGCCGGTGACCTCGGCATCTGCAAGATATCTGCGGCATAAGCGTCTACTGTACGGGTATGTGATTTGCATCCTGATTTTCCAACCGCACGCACGCGCCATGACACCATGGTGGCAGCCGTGCTCCATCGTGCTCAATCGCGCGGACCACGACTCGCTGGACGCTGCTTCCTTCGGCCCCGGTTTGTGCCCACTAGTTGCACGCCTTCTTGTAACAACGAATGCAATTGCAGAAAAAAACGAAGACGCTGTCCGCCCCACAAGCAGAACTTCGGAACACTCCGTGTGCGACTCGCTCAACAATCCACGACGTGTTGGCCCAGGACAAAAGCCAGGCACAGCAATATACCCTAAATATTCCCCGGAACGAAGCAGCCCTTCAGGAAGACTCCCGTGGAACGGTACGCTTCCCAGATCGCTGCAAACGTTCCCTCTCGCCATACCTCCAGACCCGGCTTGCCACTACGACTGATTTCGCTGACATTTCGAATGTTCTCGGTCATCCTGTACGTGCCCGAAGAGCAGATGGGTCGGCGGCAGAGGGTGGTAAGGCGGCCTCAGTGATTGTTCACTCGGTGTAAGGATGAGGTAGGTTTTTCCTCCACACACTACGCACACGGGAAACGACAACCTAGGTACAGGGGAGGGGGTGCCCCATGCCCCAAGACCATCGCGCGCGAAACGTTGCAAGCGGCATGCTTGGTTGCGGCATCATCTTTGTTCCCACGGGGTCGGTCGTTTGTGGCGAAGGCACGCGACACGTGCTCTGATGCTCTGTTAGAAGATGAATTCAAGAGTCAGCGCTGACGAGTTTTAATGGTTTGATTCTGCGTCTACACAAGTTAGGCGCGCGTTCGAGACCCAGGCTGGGCACTTGGGGCGCTTTTTTTTCCTGACGTGGATTGAAATTGGCTTAATAGCGCTCTTTGTTGAAAACCTTGTCGCGCGCAGAGGCCAGCGGAGAGCCGCATACGGGCAAGTGAGACAGGGTGGCAGCTGCAGGACAGGACACGCTAGTACAACCCAGGCACAATAATGGGAAAAGTGGGTGGCAAGAAAGTGCCACTGTCATCCCCATTCGGGCCCCTTTTCATCGTGGACTATTGTAGACCCTGCGACACGGTAGTCACGCATGTGGTATTTGGCGGAGAGAGCGGCACACGGAGGAGATCTTGTGGATTATCTACCCTAAACACAAACGCCGCGCGCCCATGACGGCGATACGAGGATCAAAAGCAAGACAATCGCAACTAGAATCTCCACCAATCCCCCCCTAAAAAACAAGGGCTAGCGAAGTACTGGACCCTTTTACGGGAAAACAGCGGGACACCAAAATATTGCGCACGGTGAATGAGAGGAACCATGTACGAAACACTTGGCGTTGGTACACAGAAGCGCTGGGTGCCTTGTGGCATGCGTGGGAACACGGCGACGATTTTCGTTTGCCGTGTTGAGGTACTGACTTGCTCGACGAACCCCCTTGCTTCAAAATTTGGCAACACTTCCCATTACTGGTGATCAATAGCTAAAGAGCTCACGACGCCACAAAGAGCTACAATGCTGTAGGTACCGGTAGCACTCGGGCCCTTTTTCGTTGCTTTCTCGGAAGCTGAGACTCCTGTCGCTCCTACGGGAAGAAGGCAACCAAATCACAGAGCACGCGAAAATGGAACCAGGGTGTGGCATTCGTACAACACGCGTGTTGTCTGATTTGACACATGTCAGCTCACTTTTCTTCACAGGAATCCCACGACTGATCTGAATATGCCCTCCTCCTCCAGCTCCACCACTCGCTTAGAGGCACTTCTCCACTCGTCACCGGTACCACCTTCCGGGGTGCCCCTCCGACATCCCGCGCCGACCGCGTCTGATCTCGCCAGCTTCGCGCGGCTGCGAGTCCTCCGAGACAAACCACCGCGCGTGTCGCCGCCGTCCTCTTGCCTCAGCCGCGACCTCCGGAGCCAAGCGCGGCACAAGACCAGCAAGCCCCGGCGGCGCCACGCCCTATCTGCCGGGGCGTTCGCCAACAGCTCGTGCACGAGCACAACCTCGTGTCCTAGCAATACGTCGCCGAGTTCCATGCAGTGCCCAACTCTGTCAGCGGGCTGCTGGCCGTTGCGGTCGGGGGTGGTCTCGTCCGCACCCCGCCTGAGCAGCAGGTCCACCAGCTCCGCGCTACCTTGCCGCCCGGCGTAGCTGGCGGCGAAGTGCAGGGGCGTCTTGTCGTCATCGTTCTGCGCGTTTACGTCCGCACCGTGGTCCAACAGGATCACCGCAGACTCGACGCTGGGCTGCTTGAAGGAAGCGAGGTGGAGGGGCGTGCTGCGGCTGAAGCTGTGTCCTTGGATGTCGGCCCCCGCCTCGAGGAGCACCTTGACGGCCTTCACCTTGTTGAAAGCCACCGCCAGATGTAGGGCCGGCACGAACAAGTTGTCGCCGGCGTTGACGTCGACCCCGTGGTGGATCATCGCTCTCAAGACGCCTACGTGCCCTCCCGAAGCGGCGAGTTCTAACGGCGACCTGTGAGCCCCATCGTACCACTCCCGCAGGTCCATATCAGCACCCGCTGCCAACAGCGCTCGCGCCGCCGCAGTGTGTCCAAGCATAGCCGCGATGTACAACGGCGTGTAGTCGCGGCAGTCTTGCGCGTCTGGTTCGGCCCCTTTGAGCAGCAACGACCTCACAATCTCCGCCTTGCCGGTTCGAGCAGCGATGTGAAGGGGAGTAGATCCTTCGGCGTCCGTGGCGCTGACCGACGCTCCGTTGTCCAGCAGCAGGCTCATCACCTCCGTGTCACCGCAGGCGATGGCCTCGTTCACTGCAGTTCCAGCCTCGGCACCTCCCCGCACCAGCATTGATGCAAGGTCTCGATCTCCCGTCCTAACAGCGATCTCCAGGGGTACTTTGAGCCACGCCGCCCACTCCTCGGGCGTGGAGGCTGCAGACACAAGGTCTAGCACTCGCAGGGCCGCCCCTCGCAGAGGCTTTCGCCGAGTGTTTGCCATCCGACCACAGCAGTAGACCCCACCGACGCACTGGGAGGAGAAGGAGAGTCGTACAAAAAAAGGGCCGCGTGTGGAATCTACATGTGATTTGAGTGAGGGTGCACATGCTGCAAAGCACACAGCAGTATTCGGACGCTGTCATGTGATCATGCCGCTCACCGAAGAGAGGTGCGTATTTTTTTGCTGGTACCATCTGGTACAGTACCGATGTAAACTTCGTATCAACGGTTTGACTTGATTGCAGACAGCCACTACTGTAAGACCTATACAAAAACACTGCGGTTGTGGCTAGCTTGAATTTTGACGCGGGAATCTCGACGCACGGTATAACACCGACAGGCCGACGATCGTTCCCCACGATCTCGTCCTCGGGTCTACAATGTATATGGTACCTACAGCAGTTTCGACCAAAGTAGCCGCTAAGCTATGAGGTGCGCGTGTTCCCTGAGATTCCCTGAAACTAGCACACATCGTAGCATCAAATGGCACGCATTACGCAAGCTCTCATAGCCCTTTGTCTTCGATATGGATGGCTGCTGTGGATACCGCCTTCAAAAGTACGCACAGCGAAGGATGCAAACGACGGAGCTGGACATGTGTTCTTACTGCTGCGGACAAGGTGCGGCTGTGGTACGTATGTACTGCTGCTGCTCTTGCTGCTGCTGCTGCTGCTGCTGCTGGACGGAGGAGATGAGAGAGCGCTCACCAGTGTATTTGTTGTATCCTGCTAACCCAGCCGTTTCTGAACCCGTCTTGTGTTTCGCACGATTGTTACCATTCCTCTGCCCTCCGTCTCTTCCCACTCGCTGTCCTGCTGGGAAATGAGTTTGATAGAGGGTGCGACAGAGCAGCATACGAAGCAGAGCGCAGAGCGTTATACAAGCAGTTCGGGAAAATATAGGTTCTGAGTTTTTTCACATCCCCGTTCGGCAGTATCTGGCGGCGAGATTGTTCGGATGCGTCACAAAAACAACATTAACAACCATGTGTAGTCTTTCTGTGCGTATACTTATTTTTTCCATAACCATGGTGTCTGCGTACTGACATGGGTTACATGTTGTAGCGGCCAGCGGCCAGTTGCTAGAGGTGGAGATAACCCAAACCGCGGGTGTGTTTATGTCACACCGTCCTCTTATTTGTCGTGTCCAAGATGGATAACCAATAATCTAAAATTCACGAGAGGCACTACAAGTAGTGCATACCCTCTGGTGCTGTGATGAAGTGTATGTATGTATGTATCCGATAAGCCCGCGGTGTTGGTGTACTACGTACAGTACCATGTACAGCGCGCGTACCGCTGTAACTACTGTACCGTTGCTGTACTGCTGTGTATGACGCAAGCTACAGCACGCGTACCGCTTTAACTACTGCCGTTGCTGTACTGCTATAGGCGAAAATATTGTGCGCCTGTAGAGGTGCCACGTACTGAGTCTACCTGGTCTGTGTAGTCTACAGATATTCCATGATGGTGAATGGCACCCACCAGCAAATGTTGTTGTTTGTTGTTGTCTTCACTTCAAATCAGCGCTCACAGCACAAGTGTCCCGTGGTCACCAAAAAGAGCCCCTCTCTGCCCTCCCGTCCTGCGGTACTTTGCCCTCGATTTTTAATGCGAGAAGAGTTCAGCACTCTCTTCCCTCTGTGTACACACGAACTAGCGCTATCCACTAGGCCAGGAGCGGAAGCGAGAGAAAAACTCACTTTGCAAGAAAGTTCGCTTGCTACGCCGGGATTCGAACCCCTGCCCTGACGTCTGAAGGTTTCGAGGATACCAACTAGACCACCGGGGCGTCCGGCTGGGCAAATGCGTGAGTCTCCAGACAGGACTGCCAAGGTACCAAGTCTCCAGACAGGACTTTCAGCCTAGGCATGAAAAATGACGACAAATACTAATACTCATCCATCCATGCGCCTTTATGAGTGGTTGTCCCAGGTGTAGGCGCGTACCCCCACCCATCTGAACCTCTTGGCACTGCTGTGTTCTTCCTCACCCTGGCCCTGCGTGTGTTGCTTATTATCATACCAGACTTCCTTGCAACACTCTAACACGTCCCCTTCCAACACTACAGTAGTCTACGTGCTGCGCATGCATCGGAGCCGAGTCCATATACCGCACACCCTCATCCGTCCAAGATATCCCACGGCCACTCGTCTCATCTAGGGTTCTTGCTACGGGTAGATATCCTCCTACCTTTCCCGGTGAGATCAGTTTTCCACTCAATTTGGAGGGATCGTTCTGTTCAGTGGAGGAGGCCGCGTAGGAAAGAAAGAGGAAACAAAACGGGGTGTAGGTAGGCGCCTACCCCAGCTTCCCTGGCTGAATGGGCACACGCTGCTGTATGCTTGTGCGTCGTCCCATTTCTTCCTTGACGAAAGTTACAAATTTCCACTTTCAGTTTGTTTTCTGGGCGCATACCATCTGCCCCCCCAATACTACGTAGGACTATTTTTCTTTCCCATTTGACCTGCCTGTGGCGTGGTGCTGTAATTTGTTTGCGGGAGCTGGTTCATTTTCTGTCAGTACGAACTCGTGAGGTGTTCAAACGCCACGGACTACTGGCGGTAGACCAAATCCCACCACGGCCAACAGGTTGGGATTTCAGTTGTGCGGGCGAAAAGGATCGCGGTGGCATTGAGGGGAATCAGTGACCGAAGGAGGAGGAAACGGGAGAAAACAGAAGGATGGAAACGATGATGGAGGAGGAAAAGATGGCGTGGAAGAGAGCAAGAGTTTCCATCTAGAGAACCTTCCTCACAACCAACGTCACATGAACAGAGAAGGCCTGCCAGAAAAAGTGAGCATATTACCGACGAGAGGACGATGATGACGTCACTGCGAAACGAACGCGCGTACAAAGTAACAGCCTTTTTGAAAGCACGTGCACACTCTCTCTCTTGTGGCTGCCGCGTCTGTCTTCATTCTGGAGAGTAGCTTTGCCCCCCCCCATAACGCCCCCGCGTCCGAGATCATGGTCGTGAGCAGAATTTGATGTTTTCATTTTCAACATTTTTACTTTGGAACATGTTGTGTTTGCGACCATACCGAGACTGACATGTTGTCATTGGTTAGCCGGTTAGCGCGGTCGATGCTAGACTACAGCAATACTGTAAAAGGCACACACATGTATCATCGGGACTTTCGAGATTTTTCTCAAAACCGAATCGATATCGTCCGTCCTTGCCATTTGGTTCTGCAACTTTCCCTCTTCCGGAATGTTCCCAAGTTGGAGTTCCGAGTGGGTCGTGTCGGGTATGAGGGTGTGTCTACACCGGAATTGTGCGCCTCAAGTTGCTGCCCCGACCCGGCGTTAGAACTCGGGGACCAAAATTATTATTGTCTTTGTTGTTGTTTTTTGTTGTCTTCACATTGAACACCGTTGCAATCTCTCTGCCCAGTACCTTCATCTCTCTCTCTCCGCACTGATCAAACACTTGACCGAGCGATTCCCGTGGTCACAGGCTACCTTCCCCAAAAGGAGAGAAGGTCATTCGGGGAAGAAACAAAGAGAACGAAAGAGTTAGGAAAAGACAAAGAAAATGTGTGGCGGGTCTCAATCGTTTTTTCCCAAGACACAGACCCCGAGTTGGAGTTGAGTGTGCGGCAAAACAACGAGAACATAGGCTGTGGGTCGAGGTTGCGCGTTTTGCAGCTGTGTGGAAATGTGGACATGGGGCTGCGGCTAGTGGGCTCCCTGTGCTGCGCGGGCTGGGAACACGCTCTGGCACATGCTGGGGTTTATTTCCATCGTGACTGGGGGTTGGGGCTGGTGGCAGCAGGTGCGCCACTGCTTGTCGCGCTCGTGTTTATCAGAATGCGAGGAGGAGACATATTCTTTTGTTCAAGGGTTGACTGTGGAGCCCGTTGTGTATGGTGTGCGGGTGTGGAGACTCTCCCTAGCGCGACAACAACAGCAGCAGTACAGCAAAGTCGTGCCGTCTGTCCTCTTAGGAAATGCCATCTTACCTGGAGTAGACCACCTTTTCGGAACTCGGGTTGCGTGTTCGCTCAAGTCGGGTGTAGAATAAATCCTTGTTCATTTAATCTAAAATAATGTCCGTTGTTCTGACCCCGAGTTCAGCTTGCTGGAACTTCAGGGGAAAAAAAAAAATACGGTCTTTTTCATCATTTCACCTAATCTAACCGAGGGTTCTGCGGACCTTTCTGTTCTATCTCGGGTCGGGGCGAGAACCCGGAGCGAAAAAAACGGTTTAAGGCACACCCTGATCACGCGCTTAATGGTAGCTCGTACACTTTGTTATGTTCATGAACCTGTTGTTTTTATTGTGTTTTGTGGACGGCGTTTTCGCTCAATCACCCCCACAGAGGCCCACCGAACCCGCTCCTCCCTCAGACGTTGTGCCTAGTGAGCGGTGGACTCTACAGTAGATTGCCCTTTCGCCTCACAGAAGCAGCCGCATTGTCAACTCGTCTGCTGCTTTCTGCTGTTGTTATACTCAACAGGTTCACAGTACCATCTTTTTTCGTGTCTGGTCAACGACAACTTGCATGCCCGGCGCGCGAAGATCCAGAGCTGCTGCGCTTCTTCTGCCTCCTGACACTAGGTAGTGCCCACCCCAACGGCGAGGGCGTTGGGGAGAGGGGAATTAAAGGCCGAAGAAGATGCCCCGCCAGGCAACAAGCGAGGGTTGGTACAGATCGCTTGCGGCCGTAATCGCTGCCGTAGTTGCGGTCCTCGTGCCGGTCATGAGGACGGCATCGGCCGAGCCGCAAGGCGAGAGCGTCTCCGCGGCTGCTGCAGGAGAAGCACCGGCGACAATGCCATCAGGATTCGGGCCGGGTGGCCTGCAGAACAGCACAATAAGGAGCAGGAGCAGGTGGTTGTACCACTTCGACGTGACAAAGGAGGGGGTGCCGTGCAAGCGAAACCCTCTACTGGACCTGGAGGTGGACCCCGCAAACTATGAGTTCGGCTGCAGGGACATCAAGGTATCCCCCTCCCACCGCGCAGAACGTGCCGAATTGCTACGAGTGCTAGCACGCGTGTATCCGTACTGCTTCTATTCACACTTCCCCGTGTTCACGCGGTCTCGAGGGTATGATGTATTCCCTTGTCGCATGATACTTTGGAACTTGCAGATCATGCTGGAGGGGAAGAAGACGCTTGTCGGTAGCGGCAGCGTGCGTGACGTTTTCCTGGTGGAGTACGAGGGACAGACCGTTGTGGTCAAATCGCTACGGAGAAAGGATGACCCAAATGTCGAAAAGCACCGTCTCGTCATGCACAAGCTGGAAGTGCTTACGCTAGATGCAGTAAGTGAAAACGCATAAGGCAGCGAATACTTTAACGGCTATTCGGCTGCGAGACAACCGTGCCACACTCACTCGCTCTACAGTCGTTACCTTTCGCGCTCTGGGGGGGGGGCTGTACGCTGTAGGACACGCGTTGGGGCCGACAGACGAACGTTTCGTGTCTGTTGGAGACTTTTGACAGCCGCTACAGTGCCTCCCATGCTACCCGGCTGGAAGGGAACTGTACCTTGAGGCGCGTGGTTGTACGTACTCCAGCAGGGACGAATTTTCTAGCAGGGACGGGCATGTTGATACAGTTTCTTAACTTCACGGTCGACGAGGGAAATCGGCGGCTGGATTTTGCTCGAGAGAGAAAAGAACGCAATCGCTATGGAAAGAAGGACGGTGGGGGAAATATCGAACCCTAACGGTGTGGCCTTGCTTCTGTGTATTCCCAGCTGATGCGTCCGCAATATCCCGGATAGTTTACAACTGACGTCTAGAACAACTGCGATGATACACCCTCACACATACATCAGTTTTAGATGCATCCTACTCCGGGCTACGTACTACATTCGTAGCGGGCATCCATTCCCTTCCAGCTTGCCCCCTTCTCTTCTGACGAAGCCCTACAGCTTGAGATGTGCAGCAACCGGCAATCAATCGCGTTTTCTGAATCTATTTATCCCCTCTGAAAAAAAAACAGGTGAGCTTTTGACGCCCGGTGAAGGTGCTACCCGAGGGTCCGATATCGCCCCCCGACCCTTCGTTCCCCTGTAACAGCGTGCTTGTCACAAACAATTCCAAAACGTTCAGCAGAACGCCGCCGCACGTGTCGTTACAAGACCATATTACGTGCGGGCGGACGCACAGGAGAGCGATCGATCTTCCCCTGTACAACTCGATCGCGGCATAACCAAGAGGCTGCAAACAAGGGTCGGCGATTGACAAGAGGTCGAGAGCTTTTCCTTGCGCATGTCGGTCGGGGTTCGCGCCCGCTTTGGGGTGTTGAGCATTCGACTGTTCTAAACCGTTCGCACGCCCTCGCCTGCACGTTTTCAGCAGTACCCATGGGTTTCATTCATACATGTCGGGCTTCTTCACACGATGTTGTCTACCAAGCTGCATTTCTTACCTCTCTTTGTCGAGAGGTCGCAAGTTGACAGACTCGTGGCACTATCAGGATCAGACGCTCCGGGTGGCTCCAGAGGGAACCTCTCGTACCACGCAAAGTGGGTGGGGGTGCCACGGTAACGGTACCGACCAAACTGGCAGTTTCAACGATGAAAATGATACCGAAGTCAAATAACATGTTTTCGGAAATCTCTCTTCAAAACGGTTCCAACGCCGCCATTCTCGGCACCGCCACTCTTTCTGCTGTGGAAAAATCTAGCTTTGAAAAATCGGTGCAGACGGTATGCTATCTTACGTCACCAGCGGTGGTCTATTACATCGAGACCCGAGAGCAGAGGCTTCACCGCCGCACTATACTTTCTACCTACTACTGTGTTCGTCTTTCACCAAACGTCTTCCACGCCACCTGCTCGCGACGATGCTCTTTCCCATTCCATCCAACGCGGTGCAGCTGAGGGGGAATCGCAACATCGTCGGCATGCTCGGTGTGTGCGGCACTACCGTGGTGACGGAGTACTTCCCGACCAACGTCGTGTACTACGCATTCCAAAGCAGAGAGCGATTATCGATTCACGCGGTCGTTTCCATGTCGCTGGACGCCGCAAGAGGGCTTCAGGTGTGGTGTTTGTGGCAACGCTGTGTGCTATCATTCCACGCTACGTGTAGCTATCTATTGCTCGAGCAGGGGAAAGATTCCTCCTCCGAGGCCCTACGTTCATCGCAAAGGGAGCAGGACCAAGAATCACGTTCGGCATCCCTAGGTATGGTGTAGACTAACAAGGGTGCGTCTTTCCTTGGTTGTGTCTCAGAAGTCTCGTCGTCCTCGACGTCGCCGTCGTCTTCATCGCTGCCTCTCTTTTCGCGGGTTGCTTGGTGCGTGCTTGCTCTCGTTCGTCAAAACAAGGCTCTGCACGAAGTCGGTTGCGTCCACGTCGACTTAAAGCCGATGCAGCTGCTGGTGGACGACAACCGGCGCGTGATGGTGAACGATTTCAACAGCGTCCACGTCATGGGCATTAGCCCAACCGACGGGGCGTTCTGCCCAGTGCGGGCCAAGAAACGAAACCGTCTCGAGGCCTGGCCGTCGCCCGAAAACTACGCCGGACAGGTACGCCGCAACCCAACATGACTCCTCATCATGTGCCGGCACGATTTACGTTGACGCACTTCCTCACCCGTGACGCATCTCCGGGTTCTCCCCCCGGCCCGACAGGTTCGCCAAATCATTGTGTAGGCCCTTTGCCCATGAAGAATCGTCTTGGTTGACCTCACGGATGTGTATCATCTGCCCAAGAAGTAAGGTCTCCACTATCGACAACGACTTCAGGATGAACGGATCAGTTTTCTAAGACCGTGGTTGAATGATCTGGCACCTCTCGACTAGCGAAGGAGACGGGAGTGCTCATACGGTACCCGGCCTCAAACGTTGGACGAAACCGCCTCCCGCCGAACAACGTAATGCAAAGCTGACACATGGCCCACAACCAACCTTGGGACTGCCAGCCCTTGACGGAGACCTCGGACATCTACAGCATGGCCATGGTTTTTTACTCGCTGCTTTCCGGGACGCCGCCATTCGGAGGTCCAGAAGGCCTGGCGGAGGCCTTTGCAACCCGAACTCAGCCTCGTCCTCTCGTGGATCCTTCATGGCACAGGGGATACGTGCAGGTATGCAAGTCGATCTCGCGGTCTTGATCTAAACGTTTTCTCCTCCTTGCACCGAATCCAAGGCGTGTTAATCGTAGAGGGGTCCTGGGTAATGAACGGCGCATGCAATAAAAGAGATGATTGAGTATTTGTTTGGTCACGAGCGCATGCATAGCTTTTCGGCCGGAATTCGGCCTGCATCAGCTTCGCGCACTTGTTGTTCGATTTACGTACGCTGTTGGACGGCTCAATGGTGGCTCGCGGGGCCTTCCTTCCGTCTTTTTGCAGCGTTTCACTATTGACAGGCATCGGTTCTCCCTCATCCCTCATCCCTCGCTGTCCATTTATTGCCGGGCAGATCGTCCAAGACATGTGGAATGAGGATCCCATGCGAAGGCCCTCGGCGAGACAGATTGTCGCGCGGTTGGAGATTATTGAGGAGGACCTGGGGCCGTAGGTTGTCGCACGGTTGGAGAACATTCAGGAGAACCTGAGGGCGTATCGAGAAACAAACCACCATCGATCTATGTCGTATCACACTACTCAATCTTGGCAAAAAAACATCGTATTTTCTTGGCAACGGGCCGCGCCTTGTGTTGCTTCCCCCCCCGGAGAACGTCAACGTTATGCAGGGTTGGTTGTCCACTGTCAGGGGAGAAATGAGCGCGGTTTTCGATACGATTCCTGTACAAGTAGAGGGGGTTATTTGGTGCGTCACAACTAACTCTTGGAGTGTTGTAAAAGGACTGTCCGGTATAATAAGCGTTAGGCATTAGACTATTGGTATTGTTTAGGTCTAAGTGATTAGGTTTTCAATGGAACATGTTTCATCCCTGGAATATTAGAGACTGTGTGCGTGAGCACGTGCTCTCTAGAACACCGTCAGCCAGTCTGATCCAATCGACAAACGAGCTCAAGAGACGAGGTAAATGGTGGTCTGAACTGGAGTACCTAGCCTTCTTCCAGGTCAAACGCCTAGGATCGCACATGCGTTTACAAACATCAAGTATCATACACCCAACAACAGAAAAACAGCAGTGAAGATACGAAACGGACAGATATATCGGGGTCCCATTGGTGAAGTTCGTGAACTTGTCGAATACCCCTAGCGACGACGTTTTCAAAATGTCCACTACTTGGCTCCCATGACACCAGCACATTTTCTACTACTGCGTAGTTCAGAGTCCATTTCTGAGCTGCATGTAGATGTCAAAAGCCTATTTTTTTTGGAGGGACAGTGTTAGTGTGCACTGCCGCCCTCAGCGGTCTGTGGCTTTGAGACTGGGTACTATGTTATGCCAGGAACAGCAGATGAAAAAGGACCATGTAATATATATATCCGTCACGCAAGCCCCTCAGGCAAGTGAGCTCGTGGGCTCTTTCTCTCTCCAGCACCAGGGGTCTTCTCCTACCCCCCATACACTTCATACCCATTCACGTACCCCCCATCAGGCGCATACAGCGCATGTAGATCGGACACATATCTAAAGTACCCCAAACAGCCCCCCTACTTGATATGCCGTACGATCTCCCAACCAATGCAAAACGCAACACTTGAGAAACATCCTCTACAATAACTGATCACGCATTCAACACAAAGCGTCTCCATCAGTTTATTCACGAATCCAATACATTCGCCCCTAGACATAATCTCAAACCGTTGACACAAAAGAATCATCCTCAGAGAAACACCCAACAACTATTCGTGTTACATCAGAAAAAGCGTTGGAACGAAACAAACATTTTCTGGAAAAACAGCTTCAAAAGAGTTGAATACCAAATCCTCAAACAAAACAAAAACTCAACTTCTTGACCAATCAAAACGAGAATTCGGAAAGCACAATGGCCCCAACCATTTACCGCCGAAATACGTCAAACCCTTCCTCCAAGACAGTGCCCAAGGACCAATCCCTAAACAGCGCGCAACCGCAAATCGATGCCATCGCTCTTGTGCAAGAAACGATAGAAAACAAAGCAAAAAACATGCATCCATGCAAACAGCCCCCCTGCTGTGACATCCCAAGAGACTATCCTCCCAACGTTATATCTTCACGTGAACAGCCCCCCTGCTGAGACATATCCAACAACATAGGAGAAACAACAAAATATCAATTGAGGTGCATGCACTCTATAATCATGGTCACACATGACACCCCCCCCCCATGATTGCAGATGCATAGACAGCAAGAAGAGACAAACACTGCTGCAAAGAAGGAACCAACAACCAGAAACAAAAACAACGCAGAAAAACAAAAAACTCACATCAAGCAAAATAAAATAAACAAAAAGTATATATATCGCGAGCGACTAACAAAGAAACGGTACAATACTTGATGTTCATCACAAAATCACGGTGAAAGCAGAATGCCGCCCTGTGCAGTGGTTTGGTCATAAAGTCGGCGTGCTGCAAAGCCGATGCAACGTGGACGACCTTAAACTGTTTGCGTGCCACCCGCTCCCATAGAAAATGGTGTCGGATGTCTATCTATGTGCTTAGAGTTGGGGGTGGTGAACGGGTTGTTGGCCAAATGAAGGGCCCCCATGTTATCCTCGTAACTCTAGTGCACCCGATGCGCTCATCCGGAAAGATACAACTCCAGAGATCGCGCAAGAAAATTGCTTCCTTGAAACCGTCGCCCATCGCAACATACTCGGCTTCGGTCGAAGAAAGTGTAACACTCTTCTGAGTTCGCGACAAAAACGAGACACACGCACCCGCACGCATCACAACCGCACCAGAAACCGACCGCCGGTCCGTCGCGTTGCTCGCGTAATCGGAGTCAACGAAGAGTTCCAACGAGACACCGCCGTTCCCCGCTGATACGTGATACCAAGACCGACCGTGAACCTGACATACCTCAAAACATGCAAAGCTGCACGCCAATGCACCATCTTGGGGGCGTGGGCATACCTCGCCACAGCTCGCACTGCGTTGAGGATGTCCGGGCGAGTCTGATTCGCCAGCCACATCAAGTGTCCTACCAAAGACCGAAAAGGCTCAAGAACATCAGCTCTGCATCGTCAAAAATCCTTGAGCTTCAAGCCTCCTGCCACGGGAGTCTCCTTATTGCGTGTGACACCAAACTTCTCAACCAAGTTCCGCGCAAGAGTCTCCTGCGACAACGTAATCGTGCCACCCGCGCGATCATGAGAAAACCGAATACCCGCGTACAAACTCAGCTCCCCAAGGTTATTGATCGGGACGAAAGCGTTCAAGCCTCTGCCAAACTGATCACACCTACTCTTGGTCCCGATCGAGAAAATGTCGTCGACGTGCACAACAACCACCATTGCCACAACACCATTCTCGATCAGACGCATGACACAAGCATCAGCAGCACACTGCTCAACCCCAAGGCGCTTCATTGCTCGGAGCAAATGGTAATGCCACATGCGGGACGCTTGCGTCAGACCATACAGGCTACGGGCAAGCTTGACAACATCACCTGAGAGAGAGCCACAACCTTTCGGCAAACGAATGTACACATCCTCTTCCAGATTGGATTGAACGAACGCCTGCTCAGCATCAAGGTGCACAAAATCCCAACCAAGATGACAAGCAATTGCGGCAAGAACGCGATTACTAGTAACAGACGGGTACGGCGAAAAAGTCTCACAACAATCAACTCCTTCCCGCTGACTAAAACCTCTTGCTACCAATCTGGCCTTTGCACGCGTCACATCACCGAACTCGTTGGGCTTCCAAAGGTACACCCATTTCGCAGCAATGATGTTCGTCCCTGGCTGCTACGAGCCTGCCGCCGGCGAAAAAGTCTCCGCCTCGAGAAGTCCGGTGAACTCCGCGTCCTCAGCGCTGTACCAGATGTCGCTGTCTTCGCCTGAGTGCGCCTCCGCCCACGTCGTCGGGGTCACGCGCTCGCTCGCAGGCCCATCCGGCAGTTCCGGACCCCCAAAGCACCGCTCATCGCCCATCCGCGCGTCGATTTCTTCCGCCATCGCAAGCATCGCCAACACCCCCGGGGACCGCGGCAGAGGCCCAGAGGCGGCCGAGGGCCGCGCCGATGACCTCGTGACGGAGGGGGTGACCTGATGACGTTGCTGCTGGGTCTGCATGTGTGGCGCGCGCGGGGGCCGGCGCGGGTCGGGGCCACTCCGGTCGGGGGCGATGAAGAAGCTGCGGTCGGGCGCATCGCGGTCGCGGACCCAAGTGTGCACGCCACGGGCGTCGCCATTCCCTCCATCACCGTCGACGGCGACGGCGCCGCCGTTTCCACCGCCGCTGCGGCCGTCCGAATGTCCGACGCCAACGCGGCGACCGTGTACGGCGCTGCTGCTCCAGCTGCTGCCGTGCCCCCCGCCGCCGGCGCCCGCTTCATCGCCGCTGCGTCCATCGAAAGGCCCGGCGCCAACGCGGCGACCGGGGACGACGATATCGTGTTAGTGTGCACTGCCGCCCTCAGCGGTCTGTGGTGTTGAGACTGGGTACTATGTTGTCCCAGGAACAGCAGATGAAAAAGGATTAAAATGTATATCCGTCACGCAAGCCCCTCAGGCAAGTGAGCTCGTGGACACTTTCTCTCTCCAGCACCAGGGGTCTTCTCCTACCCCCCTTACACTTCATACCCATTCACGTACCCCCCATCAGGCGCATACAGCGCATGTAGACCAGACACATATCCAAAGTACCACAAACAGACAGCAGAAGACTACAGACTCTGCTCCGGCCACCGATCGCAACACAACAACCGCAAAGCACAACGGTACAGGACAAACCTGGCGTGCTACAACACATATTATTGCGCGTCGCGGTCAGCGTCGCGTCTTGAGACGGCGAGCGAAGGAGGAGAACACTGACGATCGCAAGAGAGTTTTCGAAGGGCCTCCTCGTATGCTTCGGACACCCTGAGCACCCGCTCGCTGGCCTCTCTCCTCTCCGTCGCTAGTTCTTTCTCTAGGCGGATCGCGTCTCTCGTCGCGACCGCGGCTTCCTCCTCCCTCCGATCCTGCCCGTCTCCGCGAACGGCTCCACCACCGCCGCCCTCTCCTGGTGCTGCGGCGATCGCTAGCCTTGCCGTGGTAGCCACGACGCCATCGGGCTCTCCTCCGGACATTGGCGATACTCCTTGACTTTCAGGACAACCACCGTCCTTGATCTGCCCCCCGGTAGCAGCAGCACTACTCCTCTTCCCCCCGACGTACCCCGCTCTCGCTTGCGCGGCCTTGGCTCGGGCAACGGCTGCCGCGAGCGCTTTCTCCCGAGCGCCCTCCGCCGCCTGCTCTTCCGCCAGGACCGCCAGCAGCTCCCGGTCGTACCTGCCCCGCAGGAGATCTGCGTCGGACGACGACGCCCCCGGTTCGCCTCGCGGAGACGACGGTCGCGACGAAGGCAAAGGTGGGCTCGGTGTCGTCGTATTAGTGGTGCTGTTCGCGTCCGTCGAGTAGGAGGATGACATGCTCGCGTAAGCCTCGAAATCGTCACTTCCGCTTTCGAGTTCGTCACTTGCCTCCGCCAAGGGTCTTCGCCCCGTTTCAGGTCGCCTGTTTTCGCGGCCGGTTTCGGAGGCAGATGAAGTGGTCCCCCCTCTGCCGTGCCCTAGGCCGCCCGCCGCCGTCTCTTTCGCTTTGACCAAGCGGTTTTTTCTGCCGCGTGGGGTCTTTGCTTTTGATGCGGTTGCCGTTCTCGTGCCGCCACGGGCGCTGCCGCGACCAACAAGTTTCTGGCCCTCTCTCGTGTCGTACATGTACCACTCGCGAAGGCCGGCGGCAGCCGGATTGTCCACCCTAGCCCCCCGATGGTCGCCGCTGCCGCTACCCCCCCGCCTGTCACCGGCGCTTGTGCTGGGCTTTCTTGGGGAGATCCTGCGGTGGGCCGTCGCTCTAGCCGTCAGCGGAGGCGTCTTTCCACCCCCACCGCCGCCGTGAGACCCATCCCGTACCAGCAGCGACAACGAAGTCGTGATGCTTGCCACGGAGGCGGAGCTTGTCGGTCCCGGCGGCGGACGAGGGGCTGCCCGGGCACGGGCCCCGGTTTTGATGTCGTTCTGGGCGGGAGGAGGAAAGCGCGGAGAACCGGAATGAGGGGCAGGAAACAGAGAATCAGCACCACCGCCACGGGCGACGGACATGTCGGCGCGATGATGAGGTCCGGACGGCCGCACCGCGCGGGGAGTCGTGGCGTTCGGGCGGCGTGCGGCGGCGGCGGCGGGGTTGGCGCCGCCGAGGCAGTTCCTGTCCCCTCCTGGCTCGGCGGCGGCGGCGGGGGCGGCGGCGGTGGCGCCCGCTCCGGCTGCGGTCACCGCCGCGGCGAGCTCGCCATAGCTGATGCTGTGCCCGTTGGAATATTCCTACGTGGTGTGAAAGATGGATTCGGGAGGCACGAAGGGGAGAGAGGGGGGTAGACCATGAGAGAGGGGGTTGGTGTAGAGAGGTAAGAATCGGATCAAGAGCAGGCGGCGGCGGAGAAGGGGGGGGGCACCACCGTGGCTTCTGTGTCACTTGTGCATCCTGTGAAATATATAGTATATGCAGTACGTGCGGCATGGAGGAGCACTCCCATCGTGTGTTGGCAGGGGGTGGGGACATTGGTCCGCAAAGGTGCCGTAGCCGGTAACGGCGCGGGAGTGAGGACTTACCTTCAGCGCTTCGAAGTGCCCCTGCAGCATCTTCCGTTGCTTTGTCCTGGTCAGGTTGGAATGCGGAACAGATTGAGTCGTTGGCGGGTGGAAGGGCTTGCGTTGGAACCCCGAAAGTGTCCGTTACTCTAAGCACGGTGGACTCAACGAATGGTTCTGTTTTGCCTGTGCACTGGGGGAGAGGGGAGTTGTGTTCCGGTGGCCGTTCTTCCAAGGGATGCCCGCCCAATGCTGCCTGCTGCAACGAGGCAGTCTTTCTACTTGCATGCCGGATGATGAATTAGCAGAGGTCTCTTGGCGGTACTCGCTGGAACGCCCTCTACCTCGGTGAGTTTGCATGTATGTTCGTGTGAGTGGGTTTCGCGCCCCAAATATGCTGGCGCCAGCCTACACCTTTCGGGAAAAAAAACGACGCATCCGCCGGGGGTCACACAGGAGGCAGCTAACGAAAATACCACGGTGGGATTCAAGGATTTTCTTCTGTTGCGCTCGCTCACGTTTCCGAGGATAGCTTCCCTCTCGTAGCCCGGAGGCGCTCCTTCTCTAACCGGAGGAGTTCCACCTTGGCGTCGTCTTGCTCCAACTTCAGCCGAATAGCCTCGCGTCTGCACGGTTGGCACGTGAAACACCCGACAGTATGTTAAAACGATTCGGGTCACCGTCGCCTTTGCCGTTGTTGCCATGAAAACCTTTCCTGGAACATTCACCGCCATCACCAACGTGAGATCGCGTTCTGAGCGCGTGCTGCTGTAAGAGACGTCGGTGACGAAAACGTGTTATGAGACGTGCCGCACCTCTCTTTGTCAGCCTTGGCCTTCCTCTCCATCATTCTATCCCGCAGCTCCTCCTTCTCCCTCATCTCTGCCTTTCTCCTCGCAGCTTCCCGCTCTTTCTTGATCTACAGTAGTCACAATGCAGTGTGAAGCACGTTTGTTGCACCGCACGGTAAGTTTGTCTCTCGACTTGCCGCCCGCCCCCTGTACCGCCAACTGCAACGTTGCATAGTGTATTCGTTGACCCTCTATGGGGTGAGTTATGTAGTTCAGATGGCGGGAAAGTACGGGTGCATATATAGAAAGTTCGTGTTGGTTTTTCCTTTTATTACGGCGGTGTAATTGGTTCGTGTCCCTATCCGTCTGGGCGAATCCTCGACTCGTCGGCCGAAGGTCACTCCAACCCTGGGAAGGCTTCAAGAACGGTTCTCCTTCCAGCTAACCCCCCCCCCCGACCGAAAAACGCTCTGATCTGAAGCTGGGGGGGTACCAACTCGAGGGAGAAGAGGGTTCGGGCACACGCGTGCGAGATTTCCCGACAGCTTGATCTACGTGTGCATAGTACAACAGCACGAAAGGCATGTGCTGTTAGTCCCTCTTTGCGTCCGTTCCTCGGCAAAGGGACAGGCTGCTTCCTCTTTCAGCGCAACGCCTGTCTGTGCTTGCGACGGGAGATAGTTGGTCGAGACAAGATGGAGAAGACAGTATGGTGCCGGTTTCGGCTCGCCCAAATGTTGCAAGATAGAGAAGACAGCAAGGTACCGGTTTCGGCTCGCCCAAAATGTTGCGCCACACCCCTCTCTTTCGACGTGTTTTCGTCCCGTACAGAAACGTGGGTGTCGGTGTCAAAACAGAGGGAATTTCAGTTGAGCGCAAGAGTCGAAACAGAGGCGAAAATCTCTTTTGCCTCTTCCCCCGAGGAAGACCTGCTTCTCGATCTACCACCATCCTCTCTCCTGTTAGCCGATAAGGCCGAGACTTGAGTCAAGGGAGATCGCCCCGCCTCTCGCGCGCAAGGGCGATGGACACCTCCCTCCCTCAGCGACTATACGCATCATCCCCGAGCTCTAAGGAGGCCCTATTGGGCATGTTTCCCTTTGGGATTTCCCCCCCCATGCAGCATAACGCTTCGTCCCAGTAACACGGCAGAGACAACGCTCGTGCAGGCAGCCCCTGCCTCACCTCTCGCTGCTGCGCGACCCTCTTCTCCCTCAGCACCTTGCCCTCGACCTCGTCCGCCTTTCGCTTGGCGTCCCCCTCGATCTTTCGGCGGGCGGCCTCGTGCCTCGCTCGGTTCAGCTCCGCGGCCTCCTCTTCGCGCAGCTCGCGCTCTCTCTCCTCTATTTCCTGGACCGGCGCGCGTAGAGCGTGAGCGAAGTTGCTGATGGGTCGCAGGTGGAATGCAGAACGGTCCCGCAGTTAAAGAGATATTTCGTTGAGAAACACAGGCTCAAATATTCGCGAAAAACACGGAAATAGGGCAAAGAAACGTAGCTCAGCGGTGGATGCCACGATAATATCTACGCAGAAATTTGCGCTCGATGGTGGTGGCGAAATGAGAAACTCGACCCCATTGTTGAAGTTTCTTATCTCCGGGCCCGTTCTGTAGTGCGATGCCGACTGGCGTCGCTGCCCTAGCGGTAGGTCGATGGTGAACGAAACGGATAGCGGTGGTCGAGATGGCCGGTTGAAGCGAGCCAAGGCCGGACGCGAGGGTCCCTCAGATAATTCCGATGGAAGTCGATGTATGGCAGCCATGACCGGGGGGGTAAAGGAACGCCGGTCGACCACCGGGAGACAACAGCACCACCAACGACCCGCACCGTGGGTTCGAAACCCAAACAAAAAAGCGCATGCTGTTGCACTCGTGTACCAGAGCACTACCCGACCCGGGTGAAGCACCGGGAGCGAACATTTGTGTCGCAAGCGGAGTACAAGCTAGGGGAAAGCAACCAGCGACGACCACGCCACCTTTTGTCGGATGCGGAACGAAGCTACCCGGTCCTCCAGAGCGGCGATCCTCCCCCCGGCCTTCTCCCGCAACGCTTTCGCCTCGGCGTCCCGGCGCCGCCGCGCCACGTCTACCCCGGCCCGGGCGGCGGCCCATCTTTCGGCGGCGGCGGCCTTCCTCGCCTCGTGCTCGGAATCCCGAACTCTGCGCGTTTTTTTCGCGTTTGTTTTTTTTTCGTTTTTCGTGCACCAAGCAGTCGGAGTGGGGGATGACGGTGGTGCTGCGGGGTGCTGTTGGTGTTGGTGTTGGTGGATAGTATTGTCGTTGTGTATGCGCCCTGTGTCCTCTCTCTCTGTCTCTCACTCATGTTTGATCCTTCAGTGGCTGGCTAGGCGCTGACAAGCAGTTGCCTTAGTTACGTATTCACGAAGCTCAGTTTGAGGAGTCCTGGGCCCGAGGTGGATATCTTCACTGTTCATGGCGGCAGGAAACTGGATGGATGCGTATGTGTTCATGTTGAGGACGTTAATCTGGCACGCGAAAGAGTTTGGATAGCCACGGAAGTCACCCGAGCTTTCAAGTCAAAGTTGCATATTTTTCCACGAAATGCTGACCTCTGCCACAGGGGCGGCCATCTAGAAGATGAAAACACTCATGGCGCAAACCGTATTCGTTTCCTCGGTAGGCATTCAGCGAAGAAAAGAAATTTCCTTTTCGAAGAATCAAATGTGGTTCGTGCAAGCGACGCCGATTGTTTCGGTGCTCTGCCGGAAACGTTTTGGCCGAATACCTGCGGGTCACGATGAACCGCCCTCCGCGCTCTTCTCTCTCCATATGTCACGTTCCAGAAGTTTTTTTCAAGACTTCCCATGGTCTGCCTTCAGCTGGGATGTGTGTGCGTATCCCGGAAACAATTGTGGAAACGTGGACGCAGTACAAAGCACACGCAACAAGAATAGTGCTTCGTGCCAACGAGGATGAATCTCGGCTTTTGTTGTTCCATAGGGTTAACCATGCATCACCTTTTCGCGGTTTCGGCGGCGGCATCCCTCTCGGCGGCCTTTTGGGCGGCGAGCCTCTCGGTCCGTAGCTGCCTCGCCCTCCGAACGCGCGCACCGCGGTCGATGCGCCCTTGCAGCAGGGCGGCCTTCTGCGCCGCCAACTCCGCCCTCCGCTCCGCGGCCAGCTTAGCCTGCGTGCGCCTCAGGCGGTCCTGCTCATCGAACCGCCTGTCGCGCAGTTTGGTCGTGTTTGTTGCTGGCGTTTTTTGGCAGGTATCGTGGTCTTCGTCTACCGTTTGCTTGTGTTGCAAGATACACATTGCATCCATCAGATACGTGCGTGTTCGCAGGTCCAACGTATGTATGATGAACACGCGAGAGTCGTTCACGTGTGAAGAGAGCCACATAGCACGTGTCATACATACTCCCGTGAAAGCACGTTGGGGTGGATTCGAAGGCCGCCCTTCAACAGTGCCTTGGTAATCTACTTCTCTTCCAAAGAGAGCTAGCTGCCATCCTGAGATTGCTGGTCTTATAGTTGTGCCTCGTGGCTTCAATGTTCAGAACGCCGACTGTTAGCAGTCTCTCTCCGGGTTGTAGTTTCTCCCCGACTCTCCAGCCCTCAACAGACCAGTATCTTTAGCAGCCTTTTCTACCGAATCCAACCGTCCGCGTAGACTCCTGACATACCAAATAAACAGATAGCCCTTGATATTCCTTTTGTATGCCCCGGAAAGCGAGGGAGACCTTAGGCGGTAACCCGACCCTCTAAAATCTAACGCAGGCAAGCAACGTGCGCATGGACCGACACATGGTCCAGAAAGCATCCCCCTCGGCGCCTTCGGGATATTCCCCCTCGCTAGAATGCGCTTTGAATCACGTGATCTCCATTTCAACGGTCCTCATGCTTACGCCAGTTCAACTCTTGAGAGTTCAGGACCGACTTATGCGCAGAGGCACTTGTAATCATCCATTCGCTCACGATCTTGTCGGTGCTCTTTCCTCCCGCTCGTGACCCCGTCGCTAAAGCAGCCCTATCATTCTAAAAACTATATACTTCGCACGTGAACCACAAGAGAAACGCTACACTTGTAGATGCTTACGAAAATCACGGGGGGGTGTTGGTAGCATTCTTGGGACATTCCGTTTCTTACCTTGCGGCCTCGTCCTCTACCACCCTCCTGGCTGCGGCCTCCCTCTCCGAGATCTTCTCCCTGTCCTGCCACGACCGCTCCCGCGCCAAGCGGGCCCGGTCGGCAGCCTCGAACATCTTTGCCCTCTTTCTCTCCGCCATGGCCTCTCTGGCGCGGGCCTTCTCCGCTAGTTGTCGATCGCGCTCCTGCCGTAGCGCGTGCAATCGCAACGATTCAACATCAGTTCAGAACTAGTTCGTAGATGTGGGTAGAACGGCAAGCACGACCACGGTTACGACCGAAAACGATTGTATGGAATATTAGGCAGAGGCAGGCATGAAGCCCCTCTGCACTGGAATCATTACTTTGAACCGAGACGCGTTTATCACCCGGTTGAAGTGTAGTCTTCGACGGTTGCAATACGACCATCGTCCCGGTGCCAAGAAGTGGTACCTGCTCTCTGTCAGACCTCAAAAGGGAAGCCAAACACACCCACCTGGGTGAGGTCCTACACGATTCCCCGTTTATGTACAGGAATGACGCGCGGTTAGACCCAACGGCGACTGTTTTCGACATGTGAGCTGTGCCTGATGCACCACTGTGGTGGGCATCACCTGTATGTGGCCATTCACACATGATCTGTTGCGTGCGCATGTTCGTCTGAGCGTCTGACTTAGACCGTCCGTTTTATGCTTTATTTTATACAATAACACAACAAGTTTATGTCTCCCCGGATAGGAGTCTGAGATAGATTAGCGTAGTGTTGCATGACGACCAACTTGCATTTCTACGGTTCCTCGACCAGCACACAGCGATATCTCATTTTTCCAACCTTGACCGGGTCCACTCACCTCTCGCGCCAGTCCCCGGAGCTCGAAAGCCAGCATCTGCTGTAGCTCCACAAACCGGCGTCTCCTCAGCGCTTCGAGCCGGTAGGCCTCGGCCTCCAACACCGGGTTTCCAATCCCCGCCGCAGACGCGATGCTTGAGCTACCGTTATCACCACCGACGCTACTACCATCACCACACTCGAAGGAGGACCAGGCCGCCCCAGACGCCAACGAGGAGCCGTCGCCGTTGTTGTCGGAGCGCGAAGGAAAGGCATCTTCTTTCCTTCTGGGAGAGTAGTACGGGCTCACGGGCGGAGTCGTGAACTGCCGTGATCTTGGGGTTGGCGGAACAGGTTTCGTTGGTGGTCTCGCCGCCGAGGTGGCGAACACGGCCGTTGTGCCGTTGATCGGGTGCTTCCCCGCTCGGACCAGGTTCGACCTCTCCTTCTTAACCTGGACATTCGAAAGCAGCAGCACCGGCGAGGCGGTTTTTCCATGCTTACTCGCAAAGGAGTTCTTCGCTTAGAGAGGCAAGGCCGTGAGGTAGATAGAAGTGCGAGACACGGTCAACATATGCTTTGAGGGACGAAGACAACACACAAGAGCTGGGGGAGGTACGTACCCGCAGCATGGGCGCCTAGAGCGCTTGGTGAGCGTAGGCGTCCTAGGTTGCTCTACTATCCCGAAAATTGGCTATAAGTCAATCGACGGCACCGCTATGCGCTTGCCCAAGATGTACCACTACCATATGGAGGTAGAACAGCCGAATCAAGTGTTAAACACTTGTGTCTGCACAATTTCCACAAAGAACGCCGGCACGCAACTTCACGGGTACCCAGAGGCGCGCAGGTAGTTGGGCACCGATTAGTCTACAACCTGGGGTAGGGAGATTGCACGCCGAACTGTGCAGCTGTAGTCCTGCATGTCATATAGACCCAACTAACTCGGCTGACTGGCAGCATAGATAGTCTACACTAGCAACGTGATCAAGTTCGACCCCATCCTCCTAAACTCTTCACTCAAACTTAAAATTCGCAAGTTGCCATCGGTGCCCAAACCTTACCTTGCCATCAGGTTGGTTAGCTTGTTCAACATGCTCACCAGGGTGCTCCTCGCGCGGATATCAGCCTCTGACCGCATATCTATCCGAAGTATTGTCGTACAGAACCGGCTGCACAGCACGACATGCCGTGGTGTCTTTTGTCACCCTACTGACATCAACCATCCCACAGCCCACAGGTACCTACGCCGTACAGTCCTGGCTACCTGCCTACGTGTAGGTGTGATTTTTCTCACACGCGGAAGGCGGATTGGGACCAACGAATAAAACTGCCCTTTCTGTGTCTGTGATGCTTGCCTCTCGAAGCAAGCGGTGCCGGTTTATCTCGTGACGCTCCTTCCGGATTGCCGGCGTGACGTCCACCTTGCGTGACCTGTTGAGATTTCGCCCTGGCCGTGCTGTCGGTGAGAGCGATGAAATCGCACGGCTTCGCCTCAGCTTCAGCGGAGGCTGCTCCAAGAATGATTCTTCGGGCCTCTCCTCAAGGTCGCTTTGATCTACCCCCCGCCTCCGGCACGCCTCGATTGATCTAGGGGAGTCGAAGGAGAAACTTCCATCGCTGCCACTCATCGCTGACGCTATCATCGCTGTCGAATCCGACCACTGGGCTTCTGCGACATGATCTATTGTAGGCTCACATGGAAAAATAATCACGACGTCGACGGCACGGTGCAATTAGCTCCGATACCTTGTCTCTCGCCGCTACCTCGGGAGTTGCAGTACTATTGTGTAGCATTCGCCAGTTCGCTCGCAGGTGCCCGCTTGCTCGTAAACACGTGAGCAGCGACTTTGGTCCTAGACGCTCAAGGAGACAACATCGTGAAATCGTGCAGTTAGTAGAACGTGCTGAGAGGAGGTGTCGTACAGAGTATACCGCTGTAGTGTGACTCCGTCCTCAACAGTTGCCCACGAGACTTACACGTAAACTTGCATTCGATTCCCCATCCCATCTCATCTCACCCCGTCCCGTCCCTCTTATTCATCATTGATTGGTCGTATTCGTCGGCTCGTCGGGCCTGCGAAACGCGACAGCGGTCGGAAGTCGAAAGGTAACACAGCAGCAGCGGTTACAAAATAAAAAAAACACCTGCCTCCCTGACATAGAAAACTTCCTGCGATGATTTCGCGGAGCCCCGGTGGGTGACGGTGCACGCTGTGAGCAAGACTCAGCCAGTACTCACTTGCACTTGCCAGTTGCCAACGGCGAAGCTTGTGGCCATGACACCAGAAGCCGGGATGAGACGAGCGAGGAGACATCCATGCGTCGTCTTTGTCGCGTTGTGCGCCTGCCTTTTGTGGAGAAGTCCCTCTGCGTGCGGCTTCCACTTCGCCACACCGAGGATCAGCAGCAGCGGACACGAACGCAGGGCTACGCTGCCCCCCAGGTTGGCGCTTGGACGACCCCATCAAGCAAGAAGACGACGGCTGTCGTCGGCAGGCGCAATCTCACGCGAAGGGGCCGTGCGGCGGCGGGAGTGGCCGTTGCTGGCCGAGCACGTCGATGGTGATGGCCATGGACCGGAGCGGCCAGAGGTGGGTGCGGTCGTTGATGCTCGTGTAGAGGGAGAGGTTCAACATGCTCACTCCCGCTGCTGCTGTGCATGGCATCACAGCAACTCGTCAAACCAGGCGTAGCAGCACAGCAGCGAGTCTACGAAGTTACCAGTAGTCTCGCGCGTTGGCACGCTCTCGAACGTTCGGAGAGGCGGCATTGAGTGGCGGTGTACGCTCACCGCAGCGGCAGGGATGATACGATTTGGATCGAGGACTCCGAGCTGCCGCCCTGGGGTAGTGTGGATGCTTGGGTAGGACACTACAATGGCTGAAGCGGTTGCACCCTCGTTACGTTGCCCGGCAACTGGGGCACGCGTCTTCAGCTGCTAGGAAATAGACCTCTGCTTTATAACCCTGCCTTCCAAGTGCAAGTTTCCACGCTGAAATTCTCGAATCATGTGTCTCGGTGCTTGGCCGAACAAGATGGTTATACACTACAGCAGTTTGGCTCCTGGAACATGACTGTAGGTACTGTCGTAGGGTGAGCAACCGCTCCGATGACCTAGTGGCTTGCCTCGTAAACGTGCTAGCAGCAGCTTGTGGGTTTCACCCTCTCTTGGGAATGAACCATTCGCCATTCTGTGATAAAAAGCGAGTTTTTGTGAGTAGACGACACTACAATACAAGCAAGAGGGAACGCACTGCTTAGCCTTTCTACACCGACCGCAAACAGGCACTTGGCACAGGAAGGATGGGACAACAAAAGAGTCTCTTGTGTAGCTCCCGGCCGGCCAGCTCCGACTCTGTGTCCCGCAGTCAGATGAGTTGATGCAATCGTGCATTGGTCGATTGCCTTGCACACTATGGGACATGCGAGGGATAGGGGCATATGCACACACAGCGCTTTGCTACGAAACTCCCGGACACCGCGGCCACATCACGTCTCGCCGCAGTATAGAGCCAGTTTGTTCTCCCGAACGAGGAAACCGGAGTTGCTGGAGAGATCATACTATACCGACGAACAACCCAGACTCCGGCTAATACGCAAGCGTCAACGGTGTAACGAAACGCGTAGACCGGCATCTAGAATACATATGACGAGAATATAACATGCCTACTAGTACATCGCCTGGTAAAGCCGTCACGTGTGTGCGAGGTGCGAGGAATCGGTTTTGCGCCAACTCTGGCAAGCAGCGCGGTATATAGCAGCAGGTACCCAGCGCCAAATGGTTTCAGGCAGCGTTGGCTCAAGAATTTTATGCTCAAAATCGATCGCCCTTGCAATATCCACCGCCGTAGATACATACAATTGTGTGGGCCGAAAAGGAATAGGGTCGCGTATAGCGGCTGTACGGCCGCGGTCATGTGCTTGTACCGCTTGCTGTATATGGTGTGATGAGGTGTGATGACGAGATCGTGAATCGTGGACCACGAACGCACCATCGAGTCCCCTTGACCATGGCAACAATAGTCTGCGCCAAGGATGAGAACGCTTCTTGTGCCTACGTGCTTCCGTATCGATAAGAAATTGCGTCGGAGGATCTGCCGCCCCTAGATGTTGACCCCGCCGGACCCGCCGCGTCTCTTCTGCTTTCACCTGCCGTCGCCGCCGCTGCTGCTGCTGCGTACATACCCACCCATTTTGCCCGAGCGCACGGCCGCCCTGGCCCAGACCGCCCCGTTACCCCCCCCTGAAGTCGTGCTTGGGGCGAAAGACGCACTACGGACGAACTTGACCCTGTGGTGCCTACGCTATTTTTTAGCACCGTGAACTGCTCGGAAATCCATGTGACTGCTGTAAAGCGCTGAAGGATGCAGACTCCTGCACCAACGTGCAACAAGTGATGTCCGTGCTGCACGCTGCAGTACCTCGTTGCTGCACGCTGCTGCACCTCTTTCTTCGCTTCTGCGGTGCCCCCACGCGGGCGCCATGTGCCACTCCATTCGAAACCTTGGGCTGAGGCAAACTGCCGCGATCAATATAGACCCCCCCCCCCCCCGTCTCCCCTCCTCTCAACACCAGCAGCAACCTGCGGAGGTACCAAAGGCGGCGGGGACGGTAACAAGTGCACCGCCATTAACGCCTCGGCGGTATGTGGGAGATGGCGCGGGTATGGCAGACGAGGGCGGGGTTGGTGGCCCTAAGGGGGACGGGCGGGGGAAGGAGTGGACGGTGGACCTGTGTTGCAAGCGGTTGTCTTTGCTTCACCGCAAGCTTCGGCAGGTGAGAGAGAGAAAACGACAGCAAAAGAGCGCGGAGGGGAGGGGGGGGAAGGGGGGCAGACAGAAGGACAGACAAAGTCGTATGCATCGTGGCGGAGAGCGGAGGGGGCAGCAAGAGAGAGAGAGAGAGAGAGAGAGAGAGAGAGAGAGAGAGAGAGAGACTATATGCAGACGGCGCAGCAGACATATCGGGCAGAGACAGAGCAATGGGGGAGATTCGCGGGCGAAGAAAGACCGAATGCCTCTTTTCTGATTTGTTTCTCTGGTCCATCCCCTTTCGTCCTTGTCTTAACGTTGGCCGCCACAGCATCATAGACACCTGACGATGTGCCGTGCAGTATCAGAGTCCACGACCTACCGTAAGCACCACCTTGGGAGACTGTACCGGAACGTCGCCAACCCCGTGCAATTGTTGCGATGCTGCCCCCCCTTAGCATTGTTTGTCTTCCTGAGACTCTCCGCGTTCCCTCAAGCACGAAGCAAGCGGGTTGGTGTATTCGAAGGATGGTGTCGAACTGCTGTGGTTTCTGAACCGCTGGGTGGTATGGACGAAACCACGCGGGCGACAGCGGCCGTTGTCGCATGAACCCAAACCTCCTCCCGCTTTTCCCCTCTCATGAAATGTCTGGCTGGTCGTCCGGACAGGTCAAGAGCCTGCAGGCTCAGCAGGCCAGGGACCCCGATTCTCTCGACGACGCGCAAAGAGTCAAGCTCGGGAGGAAGCAGACCCTCCTGGTGAGCAAGAGGACATGAATGGCAAGGATAATCCTTGTTCGGTGGGGGTGTACTCGTGTAAATGCATGCCGTAGTCGATAGATCATTGACCGCGCATCCCTACAAAGCCGGGACGGAGCACGCTGGGATTTCACCGGACCAGGCCAGCACGCCACCAAGCGCGAAGCGCCGATTTCTTGTTGTGGGCAGTGGGGCGACGCATTATGGTGTTTTGCTTGCGTGCGTTCAGTGGTGCACCCTCCTATGAGAAATGATTTTGGGCGTGTTTTTTGTGCAGCCGTCATGCTGCGAGTTGGTGCGCGTCGTGGTTCTGGTGTAGATACGGTAGATGACATGACGTACTGTAGATACCACCCCCCCCAAGGAGTGGCGGGGCCGAAAATGGTGGTGTTTGAATCGTTTCCTTGAGATCTTTCCGAAAGCATAATGTTATAATGTTTGAGTATTTCATCCTCTTTTGGTCGTATATCACAGTACTCGCGCTGTGAAAATCGGTCCAGGGTGTGTGGTATCTTACGTCATGTTACCTGCTGCTGTACGGCATCCATTGGGCGGGTGGAAGGATGGGTGCACTGCGATGAGGTGGGGGGGCCGTGCGTCTGGCACCATGGCATGCTTACAGAGATCCTTGCCTCACCACCCCCGCGCCATTCTCGCGCTCGAACGCTCTTCTCATTCTGATACAAAAGCACGTCTTGTACACACACCTACCGGCATGACGTACGCATCGAGACGTGAATTTTGTGTCTAACTCGACCCCCCCCTGCCCCCCCCCCCCCCCCTTTTCCCCAGCTTGTTGAAAAAGGAGATG